TTTTTTGGTTGCAGCCATCATTGTTGTTTGGCGGGTCCGGGCTGGGGATTCGAACCCGCCACCTTAGGTATACATGGCTGGCGCCTTAGCCGGTTGAGCTATAGGCGCCGAGCCCAAATAGCATATATTAAAGGTATACAACAAGTTTTGCTGTATCCATACCTCATGAAATGATTACTACAATCAATTTAATTAATATATTCATCATCTCACATGGTTACTTGTGACTAATTAAAGAACCTTTATCTCATCTTCACCTGTAAGAGATTTATGTTTTTTTTCTTTTTTTTTGAGACAGAGCCTCAAGCTGTCTCCCTGGGTAGAGTGCTGTGACATCTCAGCTCACAGCAACCTCCAACTCCTGGGCTCAAGTGAGTCTCCTGCCTCAGCCTCCCAAGTAGCTCGGACCACAGGCGCCCGCCACAACGCCGGGCTATTTTTTGGTTGCAGCCATCATTGTTGTTTGGTGGGCCTGGGTTGGATTCGAACCCGCCACCTTGGGTGTACGTGGCTGGCACCTTAGCCACTTGAGCCACAGGCACCGAGCCAAGAGATTTATGTTAATGAGACCATGTGACAACAATCTTTTTACCCACCAGTTCTCTATTATGCATTCACTGAACCAATTACGTATTATATTTTAGGATATGTGAACTACTGAAGATGTTTACCTTTGAGCTTCTTCCACATGAGCACATACAATCCCAAAGAGTTTGGCTGCAGAGCTAATAACTGACAGTGTTGGAGGCAAGGGTTTAGGCACTGAATCTCCCTTTACATCTTTCTCAAAAATAGAATAAGGGTCATATTCAAGACTTCCACAAGCAACACCACTGCCAAGCAGAAGCTAAAAGGGAAAAAAGGTATATGAGGTTTTAAAATCACTGTTCACAGATCGAATCTAAGTGAGAGTAATTAAAAACGGCCATACTTGTTCTTCAATAAATCTATGGTCAGTCTCTTGCAGCACAGGACTTAGTATCAAAAGATCATCCTGATGACAGAGGGATGGAAGTAAAAACGTAGATGCTGCCACCTGGATATCAGGGGCAGTCAAGTCAGCAGCCAGTTCTTGGAGGACAGCACAGAGGTTTCCTGGTGAGTCAGAGAAAAAGAGCAATTTGCAATTAATGCGAACAGTTAACTGGTTACTGGGTTACTGCTAACAACCCAGTTACTGGGTTAAAAAAGATCAGGGTGAGTTTTAATCTATAACACTGGCCAACTTAAATATATTATAACCAAAGATTGCGTTTCTCATTCTTGAAAACTACCCTACAAACAAATGTGTTAACTATGTACCGCTAGTCAAAAGTCTAATAATGGATACTACAAGGACTTTTTTTTTTTTGGAGACAGTCTCACTACGTTGCCCTGGGTGAAGTGCCATGGTGTCACACCTCACAGCAACCTCAGACTCTTGGGCTTAAGCAATTTTCTTGCCTTAGCGTCCTGAGTAGCTAGGACTACAGGAGCCCACCACAGTGCCCAGCTGTTTTTTTGTTGCAGTTGTCATTGCTGTTTTAGCAGGCCTGGTCTGGGTTTGAACCCGCCAGCTTGGGTTTATGTGGTCAGTGCCCTACCCACTGAGCTATGGGCGTGACCTAAAAGGACATTTTTCAAATTATGCATGTATATATACATATCTTGGTTGTAGTAATAATTTTTATGTTTCAACCAAAAGTGGTAAGTTTGCTGTTTCTCATCTTTCATCTTTATTTTCATCTTTACAAATTTGGTAATAAAAGTGAAAATTTTTTTCTTACTGGCTTTTGAATTTTTAAAATTATTTTCTATATAATTTGATAGATTTATATAACATGTGGGAGTATAACAGTCATAACTTTACCACTAAAATATCAATTGACATTTTAAGTAATGTAGCTAATATTATAATAACCTATAGTAATTTCTAAATTTGACTACAAAAGGAAATATAGTCTTTAAATGTATTCCTCTAACTTTAAGCTTTTTTTTTTTGAGACAGAGCCTCAAGCTATCCCCCTGGGAAGAGTGCTGTTGCATGACAGCTCACAGCAACCTCCAACTCCTGGGCTCAAGCGAGTCTCCTGCCTCAGGCTCCCAAGTAGCTGGGACCACAGGCGCCCACCACAATGCCTGGCTATTTTTTGGTTGCAGCTGTCATTGTTGTTTGGCGGGCGGACTGGATTTGAACCCGCCACCTTGGGTGTACATGGCTGGCACCTTAACCACTTCAGCCACAGGCGCCGAGCCTATTCCTCTAACTTTAAAGTTCTGGTGATATCAGTTCCAATGTCTAGTCAAAAAGTCAGTCTAAAAGACACAGAAAGAAGTTGCTTTTGTAATGTAGAAATTGTTCAAGAATTGAAATTATTTTTCTTCATGACTTCCCAGCATGGGAATGAGTTAGTTTTCTTTTTTGGTTTTTTCTTTTTTTGAGACAGAGTCTCACTTAATCACCCTTGGTAGAGTGCTGTGACGTCACAGCTCATAGCAACCTCAAACTCCTGGACTTAGGCAATCCTCTTGCCTCAGCCTCCTGAGTAGCTAGGACTACAGGTGCGCAGCTATTTTTTGTTTGCAGTTTAGCCAGGGCTGGTTCAAACCTGCCACCCTTGGTATATGGGGCCAGTGCCCTACCCAGTGAGCCACAAGTGCCGCCTTTTTTTTTTTTGAGAAAGAGTCTCACTGTGTCACCTTTGGGCTTAAGCCCAAATTGGAGGTTGCTTGTGCTATGACGCCATGGCACTCTAACCAGGGCGTCAGCTTGAGAATGCCCCCCCTCAAAAAAAGAAAGGGTGGTGCCTGTGGCTCAGTGAGTAGGGTGCTGGCCCTATATACCGAGGGTGGCAGGTTCAACCCGGCCCTGGCCAAACTGCAACAAAAAATAGCCAGGTGTTGTGGCAGGTGCTTGTAGTCCCAGCTACTCGGGAGGCTGAGGCAAGAGAATTGCCTAAGCCCAGGAGTTGGAGGTTGCTGTGAGCTGTGATGCCACAGCCCTCTACTCAGGGGGACAACTTGAGGCTCTGCTTCAAAAAAAAAAAAAGACTTTTTCCTTTTTTCCTAATTCAAGTTCTTCTTTAAGGGTAGAATCACATCATCATTTATCAGAAGATATAATATAGATTTTAGGTTGATATTATTGTAATCCTAAATGTTAAAGAATTAGAAAAAAAAGTCGATTTTTAAAAAAAATCTATAGTTTGAAAATAAGCTTTAAGATATTATGGTAAAAATAAAAAAGGGTTCCAGGTTCATCTATGTTGATTAAAAAAATGAAAGGCACTGCTTTTGCCACAGCCTAACGGTTTACCTGAGCTGCGGAATTTAGAAATTACTTCTCAGGCTGGTCTTGAACTTCTAAGATCAAGTGATCCTCCTGCCTTAGCCTCTAAAAGTGTTAGGAATACAGGACATTGCTCCTGGCCTAAATGTTTTCTTTATAGTAAACATTTTAATAGGTAGATATGAAAACCAGAGAGTAAATAGGAATAGTATCACTTACATAATGATAAAGGCCAAGCTAGCACTAATGTGGTATACATTTGCTGGCATAAGGATACAAGCAAATAAATGTGGTACTTTTTTTTTTTTGAGACAGAGTTTCAGTATGCCACCTTCAGTAAAGTGCCGGAATCCCAGCTCACAGCAACCTCAAACTCTTCGGCTTAAGTGATTCTCTTGCCTCAGCCTCCCAAGTAGCTGGGACGACAGGTGCCCGCCATAGAGCCCAGCTATTTTTGTTGTAATTGTCATTGTTTGGCAGGCCCAGGCTGGGTTCTAACCCACCAGCTCTGGTATATGCGGCTGGCGCCCTAGCCGGTGAGGTACAGGCGCTGAGCCTAAACATAGTACTTTTACAATAAATATATTTGAAGTAACATTCTAATTGTTGGAATTAGGCAACAATTCTAACAATTTGTTGACTAAAAATGATCAAGACTAAAACAAGATACAAGTCCCCATTGGAGACAATTTTCAACTTTCACCTCTTAAAACAAGCATATTAAATTATTCAGATGTAACAGCAGTATGTTTTCTTAAAACTATAATTCAAACTGATAAGAAAGATTTTAGGACTAATTTTAAAATAGAGACAAATTTATTTTATCAATGGCAGCACTGCAGTAATCCAAAGTCACCTTTGAGCTTAATAAGAGCAAAAACTACATGATAAATGTTATAAAATCAATAATACCTTGAAGCTTCAATATGAAACCTTATCTGAGCAGAATTAAGAATAATGGAAAAGAATATGTACTCCCTAGTACATGTATGTGTCTATCTTTCTAGAAGGAAACTAGGAATGGCCATGTTTGTAATAGATTTACATTACATATTCTGTATAAAGCACTAGAGTAGAATCAGTATCAGTCTTTGGGACTCATTCTCCCACACACAGTTTAACTAGGGAGTAGTTGATTATTCTACAAGAAGGAAGGAAAGAAAACATGAACTTTCTTTTAAAAATGTATTTTATTATTAGTGAACACGTGGATTAGGATCAAACTCCCTACACAGTCTAGATATAAGGCACTAGACAACTGCCATTATAATTCATTCATTCAAGTATTTAATGAATGACAATTACTTTCCAGGCACTATCTTAGCCACAAACAATAAATATTTTGTCCAAGGCACATACCTTCATAGGTTTCAGGAGGTAATAAAATCAACAGTTCATAAAGTCTTTGTCTATAAACTACAGACGGTGTTTTCAAAGGACTTCCATATGTTTTCAGTATTGAAGAAAGCCTTAGAATAAAACAAAAAAGTGTATCTTAAGTTGGTAAGTCACATAACAATAAAGGAGGGCTATCTAGAAAGTATCTAGCCATGTAATAGGAAAAATAGTACTAATAATAGCTGGATACTTTCTGGATAGCCCTTGTACAAAGAATGAATAGCCCAACATGTAAATAGCTCATAATTTTAATGAGTTTAGTGACATTTTAATTTTTTTTTCTTTTTTGAGACAGAGTTTCATTTTGTCTTCCTCAGTAGTGTTGTGGCATCACAGCTCACAGCAACCTCAAACTCTTGGGCTTAAGTGATTCTCTTGCCTCAGCCTCCTAAGTAGCTGGGACTACAGGTGCCTTCCACAATGCCTGGCCACTTTTTTGGGGGTTGCAGTTGTTATTGTTGTTTCAGGTGACCGGGGCCGGGTTTGACCCCACCAGCTTCAGTGTATGTGGCTGGTATCCTACCCACTGAGCTACGGGTGCTGCCTATTTTTTTTTTTTTTAAACAAGACATCACAGACTAAAAGGTATAACAGGGATTACCTGACTGAAGGTATAAAAGTATCACATGTGGAAATCATTTTGCAACTTTTCTATCATACTTTACGCAACAAAATAATATAGTCACCTTAGATTACTTTCTTTTTTTTTTGAGACAGAGTCTTTTATGCCCTTGGTAGAGTGCTCTGGTGTCATAGCTCACAGCAACCTTAACCTCTTGGGCTCAAGTGATTCTCTTGCCTCAGCCTCCTGAGTAGCTGGGACTACAGGCACCCACCACGACACCTGGCTATTTTTAGAGACCAGGTGTTGCTCTGGCTCAGGCTGGTCTCGAACCTGTGAGCTCAAGCAATCCACCTCCCTTGGTCTCCCAGTGTGCTAGGATTACAGGCATGAGCCACAGACGCTAGGCTCAGTTTAGATTTCTAAGGTCACAGTATTATGTCTAGAACCTGAAACTCATTTACTAATAAATTACAGATTTTACAACTCAGTATGGCAAAACCTAAAGTCTGTTATGGGTCCAACCTTGGTGCCTCAGGCTTAGCATCCTGGGAAGCCTACTTAGGAGGACTGTGGTTGCTTTAGGACAGTAGAACAGCCAAATCCAGAGTAAAACCAGCGCTCTATAAAAAGAAACAGCCAGATTTTGGTCAGGCGTGGTGGTTCATACCTATAATCCTAGCACTGTGGGATGTGTGCGTGGAAGGATCCCTTGAGCTAAGGAGTTTGAGACCAGCCCTAGGAAGAATGAGATCCCATCTCTACTAAAAGTAGAAAAAATTAGCCAGGTGTGGTGGTGAGCACCTGTAATACTGAGAGGCTGAGGCAGAAGGATCACTTCAACCCAAGAGTTTGAGGCTACTGTGAGTTAAGACGCCACAGCACTCTACCCAGGGCGACAGCTTGAGACTTGGTCTCAAAAAAAAAACCAAAAAGCAAAAAATCAAAAAACCATGCTGAGTAAAAAAACTAAGTCATAGGCTTGGTACCCATAGCTCAGTGAGTAGAGTGCCGGCCACATACAATGAGGCTGGTGGGTTTGAGCCTGGCCTAGCTTGCTAAACAACGACAACTGCAACCAAAAAATAGGCGGGTACTGTGGTAGGTGCCTGTAGTCCCAGCTACTTGGGAAGCTGAGGCAAGAGAATCACTTAAGCCCAAGAGTTGGAGGCTGTGAGCTGAGATGTCACAGCACTCTACTGGGGGCAACATAGTGAGATTCTGTCTCAAACAAACAAACAAAAAACCCCCCCAAAACCTGGCTGGGTGCCCATAGCTCAGCGGTTGGGGTACTGGCCACATACACCAAAGTAGGCAGGTTCAAACCTAGCCTGGGCCTGCCACAACAACAGTAAAAAATAGCCAGGCGTTGTGCCAGATGCCTGTAGTCCCAGCTGATCAGGAGGCAGAGGCAAGAGAATCACTTAAGCCCAGGAGTTTGAGGTTGCTGAGAGCTGTGATGCCACAACACTCTACCGAGGGTGACTGGGTATCAAGTCATAGAAACATTATAGTAACATCTGCCTCATCAAAATCAAGCAAAACTAAATAACATACTACTTAGGGAAACAAAAATATTTGATACACTTTTTTAAAAATGTTAAGGAAATGACAACTATAATACTCAGGCTCTTGGGTACTTTTAAAGGAAGTCAGAAAGAATGTTATTAGAGAAAGGAGCACATATACCTTCAACAGTATTGTTCATGCTGTAGTAGTTCAATGGTGGCCAAACAGGCCCACTGCCCGTTTCTGTAAATTATGTTTTATTGGAACACAGTCACATTCACTCACATATTCACTAACATTATGATCGCTTCTACACTACGAGTTGAGTAGTTACAACATACACACACAGAACTCACGGCCCACAAGCCCCAAATATTTACTAAATTCCCCCCCCCCCTTTTGAGACAGAGTCTTACTATGTTGCTCTCAGTAGAGTGCTGTGACGTCACAGCTCACGGCAACCTCAAACTCTTGGGCTTAAGCAATTCTCTTGCCTTGGCCTCCCAAGTAGCTGGGACTACAGGCGCTCACCACAATGCCTGGCTATTTTTTGTTGTTGTTGTTATAGCTGTCATTGTTATCTGGGTTCAACCTACCAGTTCCGGTGTATGTGGCCAGTGCCCTAACCGCTAAGTTATAGGTGCTAAGCCAACTATCTGGCCCTTTACAGAAAAAGTTTGCTAACCCCTGCTCTAATTGTACTGGATTCATAGTTAAACACTTTATTATACTACCTAAGCCATATCTTAGATGTATTTTTCTTTATATATAAATTTTTTTTTTAAGAGACAGAGTCTCATTTTATCGCCCTTGGTAGAGTGCTGTGACGTCACAGCTCACAGCACCTTCCAACTCCTGGGCTTAGGTGATTCTCTTGCCTCAGCCTCCCAAGCAGCTGGGATTATAGGTGCCTGCCACAATGCCTGGCTATTTTTTCTGTTGCATTTTGGCCAGGGCTGTGTTCAAACCTGCCACCCTCGGTATATGGGGCTGGCATCCTACCCCCTGGGCACAGGCACTGCCCTATATATAAATTGTTAATCATTACTTTTTGGAAAGACTTTCTCTATATATTTTATTGTTTGCAAATTATAAGTGCTTATGATATATATTGGCTTTTCTGTTTCTAATCATATATGTATAACTCAGAAAAAATAGAAACAAACAACTGAAACTGTTAATAAACATCTGGTTCTTTTGAACACAGAATACACTAACAAACCAATAAAATGCATACCTGAAAAGGTTAACAGGCTTAATATTTAATTTCTTGTTAAAGTCTGCCTGTATGGAAGGTACATTATTCACTCAGTAATTTTCTTTCCCTTTTAATATGTATTTTTCTTGCAAGATCCTACCCTAAAAAAAAAAATCATAAATCTAAATGACTACCTTCCTTTGCAAAAGCAAAATCATTCGGCGACCACAGAAACTTGGCTTGTTATTATACTTAAGGAATACTGTATAATCAGAGGATCGCTAAGTGCTCTTAGAAAATTTTATCAAATCTAAATAGCTGATCCTTACTGAGTTAGCAAATCCACAGCACAAGGAAGTGGTGGAAGAAGACGCTGAATAACTTCCTCAGTAAGGAGATCGCCACAGTGGGAAACAAAGCTCTTGATAGCTGAAAAAGAGAACAAACTTTTACTCAGCATAATGTTATCAGCCATGAAAGGAACATTTGATTACAATATAGAAAAAGTATTTTTATTAGTGGAATAAAGAAATGTGCTAAACACAAAAAGTTCTTTTTTTTTTTTTTTTTTTTTTTTTT